GTTTGCTTCTGGGTTTTTTTTCCTAAAAAAGGTTTTGAAAACTTCTGTACATTTTTATTCTTGCTGATATACTTGTATTTCTAACAGCCTGCAAATAAAAAGTCCATTTACATGTATTTTTACGTGAATTAAGAATTAGTTTATGGATTATTCCACATTCTGCCTCAGCTTTGCAGTTGTGAATTCTGCAGACATGTTGTGAGAAGGGATTTTATTTACAGTGCTTTTTTGAGGTTTAGCTCATCTGGCTTTGTTTCCACTGTGAAAGAAATATAAAATGTCCTCTTATGATAAGTTAGAGTGGATAAACATATTCAGTACTTGTGTGCTGCTGCTGTTGTATCACTTTTCAGTAAGTGACGTAATCATAATCTTTCAAACTCCCTGTGAAGAAAAATTTTCATCCTTGTAGAAATTTCTTTTTCCTGGGATTCTGCTTCTTCCAAATCTAATGAAGTAACAGATTAAAAGCTGAGGTAAGATACATCAAGAGAAATACTGTGGGCCTTTTAATTTGCTTTCTTAATGTTAACTAATTGATTGGTCTCACGCTACCACGGTAAGGCTGATGCCTTCCAAGTGGCTCTGATGAAGGGCCTGATGATGCATTTCATGCAGTTGCATTTGGAATAGGTTTCATCTCTTATCTCCCACTTCCCAAAAAAATACCATTAATTGTCATAGGTCAGGAAGTGCACTGTGTTCTGGTCCTAGATGGTTTATATACACACATAATTGTTAATTTTAGTCTAGGATCTGTGTGGAAGGCAGAACCATTCAGGAAAAAGGGCTAGGGTCCAGGAGTGCTCCCTCAAGCTAGCTGAAGGGCTTTTCCACCTGCTTCTCCTTCTGTCCAGTGACTCTTGTGTTATCTGCATAGTGGTCCTATTTCCACTCAAGGAGTATGTGTACCCCTGGGCTAAGATTAGGGAATTAGGAGACAGGTAAATTCTTCCAGACCGAGAGGGCCTACAGCTTGCAGTGAGGATTTGAGTATCTTTATGTGAACAAAGAGCATCCCCATTTTTCTATGGTTGTTTGTAGTCTTGTTTTCAGGTAATCCTGTTAGAGTTGGAGCTACACTTGAGTGCTTTTGTCGTGTATTGGATACACAGCTTTGACTGCATCCATGATGTTAGATTGGGCCTTGGAAGTTGTGCTGCTGCTTTGCTGGATTGTGAGGGAAACATTGGCAGGAACTACTTGCTTGGGGCAAATCAGAGACTCTTCATACATATGTGGAAACCTAAGATACACATACAGAGGATTTGCAAAATAGCTGCATGGGTTGAGTTTAGACTTTTCAAGGACTCTGTCTGGTTTAAATTCCTCAAACTGAAAACAACCTAATACCTCAGTACCAGCAGCTTTCCCTTACACAGATTCCCACTTCTTTCCCAAGCATAATTAGTTCCCCCTTATGTTTATTGCATTTTCCCCACCCACTTTGTTCAGAATTGTAAAACCAGGTTATTTACTTCAGAAGATTGCTGATCCCACCACATGTGCTTATCACAGGGACATCATCATGTGACTTTTGGCTTTGAAATTATTTTTACACATCCATTCTCATTTAGACACCTGCAGAATATCAGCTGGTAATTTTTGAACATACTGGGTTCTGGAACTGGGGTTTCACAACACCGATCAATTTTAGCATCTTTTCTCAACACTGAGCATTTTCATGGAAGGGAAAGTTTGTGGTAATTTTTCTTTCAAAAATTAGTGGCTTTATTAGGTCCTTACATTCAAGGGATTTGCATAATTATTTGCTCAGAAAGGCTGAGAACATCCTTTCCACGTATTTTATGAAAAACAACATGAAGAATTTGATTAATGAAAATGACTCCTTGAAATTATTTAGAATTAAAAATCCCAGATGAACCCTTCCTAAATTTTTTTACTGTCTGTGTTAAGGAAAAAGAATGAAATTCTTTTGAGAACTCTACATTTAAATACTAGCAAACAAGGGTAAAGCATTTTAAAGTGTGAACATTTTGTAATAAGGTAGTTTTTTCTCAATCAAATGCCTTGAAGAGTGAGTATTGTACCTGTTCTTTTTCAGAGTGCTACATGACATTTCTACTTTTCTCCATCCTATTTTTTTTTTTTTGGTCTCTTTTGTTGTTACTCTTGGTACAGTTCACCAGAATAAAGTGTGTTTTTTTAAGGGCAAATAACTTCATAGATCTGCGGTGAGTTACAGCTGCATAAGCACTCCTTCCCCATCACCAAGGGTGTAGAAGCAGCTAAAGTGTAACTCCTGAGCCAGCCGTGGCACTGCAGGACTAGAGATGGGGAAGTGTGCTCAAGCACGTGCTCAGGAAACTTAAGACAAAGTTTCACAAGCACTTACTCCTGCATCTGCACGCCACTGCAGGAGTTGGATGGATTGGGCTGTAGTCGAATGCTGGACAAATCCAAGATGATATTTTTGTTCAAATTTGCAGTGGATAGTAAAACACGTGCCAGATTTCCTCTGGGTTTATGTAGGACTGCCCAGTACAAATTTAACCCGTCAAAAATACTGAATAGATTGGGATTGCAGAATGAGGTTACCCTGGAGCAGCATGATCCATGTCTGCAACATCCCCCCCCTGCTTGGGGGTTTCTGTGTCCTTGGCAACAGCAGTGAAACGGTAGCAGGCACACAGGGACAAGAACAGGAACAATTAGTGCTATCCCTAGCTTCTTCATTTTCTTCTCTGGAAAACGTGATTAAGTCAGCATTCCTGAGAAAGGTAAAGTACTTTTTTTGAATTTTGAGTACAGAAATGATGCTCGATGGCACTGTCCCCAGAGGCTGATTAAAGCTCACAGGGTCTTCAGAGAAAATGGCGTGCGGCTTCCATGCACCCACAGGTCTGACTTTTACTGCAATCTTCAGTTCCTCTCTTCCCGGGATTATCCACTTTATTTGGATGAAAGGTGAGGAGGAAGAGGAGGAGGTGCTCTTTCGGCTGGAGGCAGTTCAGCAGCCATCAAGGAAGACTGCTTTTGCGGGGGTGCTGCCTTGGCAGGTTCTGGGGGGAGAGGGAAACCCTGTTTGGGTAACAGGAGCAGCTGCTCAGGTGCCATCTGCTCCGCTCGCCTCTTCTGACTTTTTTTTTTTTGAGGGAAAACGTGAGCAAATACTCTCAGGTTAATATTTATTTGAAGTGAAAACGACAGACAAACAGAAACGACAAATCCCGGCTTTTCTGTGAGCTTCCCCATATGAAGACTGCTCGCTTGCAGCCGCCGAGCCCTGTCCCCGCTTCCCTGGCCAGGGCCGCCCTCCGTCCTTGCCGCGGGACGCGTTGCCAGGGGCACGGCTGTGCCGGGAGCGGCTCCGGGGCTGGCGGGGCAGCGGCGCGGCGGAACCGCGGTAACCGGGGGACGGGCCGAGGCAGAAAGGGCCCCGGGGGTTGGTTTGGTTAGGGCTTGGGGGTATTTTTGGTAGTTCCCCTATTAGGGAATAAAGCCCGACTTTGGAAATACGCCCCCCTTCCTACCCCGCTTTGTGTTGCTATTGCTGTACAGGCTGACGCGGGCTGGCTGTAACCCCCCTTTGCGAGTCATCTTTGCAATATTAAATTTAATCTCGCCTTTAAACATTCCCCCCCACCCCAAACAAAACAAAGCAAAAAAAAAAAAATCCCCAAAAAACACCAAACAAACAAACCAAAACCCAACCAACCAAAACCCCCAAACAAATAAAACCCCGACCCCAAAGCAGAGCTCCTGCAGGTGCAGAGCTGTGCCCGGTGGTAGGTGCGTGGTGCGATTGAACCCCCCTAAACTTCAGCTGATCATTACAGCTTATCTGTACAAGTTCAAGGCCAAAGATTTTTGTTACTAAGCGCTGCAGAAGGGAGTAGCTTTCACAGAGCAGGAATTTACAATTATCTAAGAATTTCTTCTTTGCATCTCTTGCTCCTTTGAAAGGGCTTTGCTGGCTTTGATGTGAATTTAAGAGAGACACTAGAGGATATTGCTTAGAAGTGTCAAACCCTTGTACTAAAGATATAATAGGAACCTTGTAACAGTTTTGCGTTCCAAAGGATAAACAATTTATTTGTGTGAGCAGTTAATTTAGTTGAACATCAATTTTGTAATGAAGCTATATTGTTCTGAGACCAAAAAATACAGAATTTTGGTAGTTTGTGGTGGCAAAACCCACTGCCATTGTATTAAATACGACAGTTATGACTCAATTACAAACTTTTTGCTAGCACTGCTTAGTGACAGTGTTGACAGCAACCTGCTCCACATTTTAACCAACCAGAAGTCAAATAGTTTGTGAGTGTTGATTTTGGGACTAAAAAACACGCTAGAAATTACATGTTTATAAAATGTAAGTTACAACTGCTAAATCAAACTACAGCACTAATCAGTTTTTAATTGTATATATGCCAATATACTCAAGTATTTCTAAAATATTTTCATTTTGTTGACTGCAGTATAGTAGGCGTTATAGGAAAATTGCAGCTGTTGGCAGTGCATGATGGTCTGCTTTTTAAATCTACCATTTAAGTAGTTCTGTTACTGAAGTTATTTAACTCTACTTAGCACTGATAAAGTAGAAACAGTAGAATGAATTGTTTGCACAAATCCCTGCATAAGCACTTACTCTTGTCTTAGCAATTACCCTTTTTATTGTTTAGGGAATAAACACAGCAGCTCCTTGTTAATCATTTTGGAAAAGCTGTGAGAGAAAGTGTCTGGGGAGTTCCAAATTCCTTAATTTGTCCATACAGACAAAGGATGAAGTCAACCAGAAAGCATGTTAAGTAATGTTTAGAGTAGGTGATGTATCTCTCTAATTGCCTTTAGATGACTGTTGTCTTTCATCACATTAAATACATTTATTATATTTAGATACAAAGTCACCTCATCTTAAGAGAAAAACAAAAGATGAAACTGCTTTAACTGCTTCTTGTAGTAGTAGCAGCAGGTAAGACTAAAATTTTGCTTGTAATGAAAATTTCATTTGGGCCCATTAATCAAGTTCGAAATTAGCCTCTTTGAGGCCGGTGAACAGCAGGAGCGATTTTTATCTTTTCAGTAATACCTTCCAATGATTACTGCAAAGGGAGGAGGGTAGAGCTGAGCAGTGCCCTTCTGAAAGGAATTTAGAAAATCTCTTTGGTAATTTATTTGAGCTGCTGAGAACACTTAAGTTACTTTTACATGTTTCTGGAATATTACACTAATGCAGAAAAACTCTGTAGGTATATAACAATAACAAAAAAAAAAGTACTGCAAGCAGTGAGTTGGCCTAGTTACAAGAAGGAATCAGCAAGGGGAAATAGGACTTTGCTGAGTGGATAGTGAGTATTTGGGTGTTTTTGGCACTTTGTAATATGCAAGTGCAAGTGACAAAACTGAGATAGTTGTGAAATATTACTCGCAAATTTTGATTTGTGTTAATATATAATTATCAATACAATTTGAGATCCCTGATAGGCAAATTGGACAAAGTATTATCTATAAGGAAGACCCAATATATACATACAAGATGGTTAATTTGTGAACCAGTTTTTTCCCAGCCCCTGAAGTCACTCCAGTTGGGGAGTCAGCCTATTCCAGGTGACCAGTGACAGGACAAGAGGACAGAGTCTTTAGCTCTGCCAGGGGAGGTTTTAGGTTGGGCATTAAGAGGAATTCCTTTAAAACATATCAGTATAGAAGAGATGTAGGACAAAAGGAGAAGTGAAATAAAAACTTGGAGCACCTGAAAAGCAGTGGCAAAGGAAGCAGTCACTGCAAGAAGGCTGCCTGTGTAGCTGAACTGGTGAATATTCCCTGGACAAACCAATGTGAAGGTGTCTGTTTTGGTTAGATGTGTGTTTGAATACTGTGGAGACAATCAGAGCTCATAGGCTACTACAGAAACTTTCCCATGGTGTTCTGCTTTCATGCCCAACTTTGCTGATGGTAACCTATGAGACAGTTTAGCAAAGCATATCAGTGAAAAAATAATGTTATGTGCCATCATATTACAAATCTATTTCATTTTCAACCTTTTTCCCCTCTTCTCCCCATTTGTTCTGTAGAAACAAAAGAAGAATGAAGTCAACAAAGGTTTGTGAGCCATCATTTTTGGTATGTTAACCCCAATGTGTTCAGGTGCTTAGGGAATGGGAAGAAGAAATCCCTGCCCTGAGCACAGTCTATGGCAGGGTATTGACAAGTCACTCAGGGTGGTGATGGGTGTTTAAATGCCTACTGGAAGCTTTGTGTTTCAGAAAAGAGTTTTAAAAATTCTATGTTTTGGGAATGGGGTCTGGGCTGTGTGCAGGCAATGGCAGTGGTGGTAGCATTTGGCAGCATTGAAAGGGGAAATACAACAGGAAATAAAAGAGAAGCTGCCAAAAGCAGAATGGGCGTGAGTGACTTTAACAGCTGGCTGATTTCAAAGTACATGGATAGGTATAAAAGTCCTGAATGTTGTTGTAGTTTTGTTGTTTCTGAATCAAATGAAGTTTTCCAACTAAAGGCTGGGAAATAAAGGCAGTTATTTGATAAAAAAGTCAAAACAAAAATGGTCAGCAATAACAAAAATCACCATATATTGATCTTCTAAAGAACACCTATTACTAATAAATCTGAAGATCCAAGTAGATATTGCTCTTAAGTAATGTAAATATAGGCTTAGCTTTTGTTTAGCATATGAAGTTAGATGAAAGCTTCATTTTCTTGCAGGTAAGTGGAAAGAGATCAAAAAGATTAATAATGTGAGTAGGAGAAACACCCAAAACCTAGGTTATTTAGAGCTGATTGAATATTAATGTACTAAGACATCTTCGCTCTACTCTCTCTAATTCTTTTAACACTTAATTAATTCTATTTTCCTAACAAAAATCAGTATAGATTACATAATACTCACAAAACATTAGAAATCTGATATTTTCCATGGATAGAAAAGTGCCCCATCTGCATTACAAATATTACCCCTATAGTAAAGTCATGCCAATTTAATTGAGTTGTCTGACAGGTCTGACTTGTGATTGGCTGACGGCAACCCACAGAAACATAGAAAACTATTAATTTTAGAGCATGCATGTTTCCTGCTAAAAGTATGATGATAATACCAACTTTCCTAGCGTGGTGCCACCATGATTGGCTTTATATTTACCAAGGCACTGGAGGATGCAGAGATCTGCCTCTGTAAATCTCACTAAAACTGTAGATGAGTCGAACAGTAGTTCCCATTGACTTTGGCACCTGGCTTCATTTAAACTTTTAAATCCTTCTGGATGTGTAGCTGCATCTTTATTTCACCAGTTTTGAGATGTACTCCTCCTTTCCGTGAAGTCATAAGCTGTGGGTTTTTTGGGAAGAAAAGGAAAAACCTACATTCATGCAGTGCTACAAATGTAATAACATACATAACCATCGTACGCAGTGTTACTGTTAGCAATCTCCATCCAGTTTTGCAGCCCTGGTGTATTACAGAATGAGAAAAATGCCCACTACACTAAAGAATTTCATGTGGTTGTACATGTGAAACAAGCAGCGTGGAGCAAAAGTAAGACAAAAGCAGTGAGGAGAGGGCACATGCTTTCCCTCACTCCCTCAGAACAGTGATAAAGTGTTGAGAAAATTAGCAGCCCTTTTATCTCCCAGATAATGTGCTGTGTTCTATGTGGCCATGAGTTTTCTGCATGTGTCAGTCTGGCTTGATGAGAGTGGCAACTCCTTTGTGGAAGAGCACAGATGAGTGTCTTTGAAGGAGATGAATGCAATTAAACTTGGTGGGTCTAATCTAGTGTCAACTAGCACAGGGAGGAAAGATTAAAGAATAGAGCTGGGAATATTATAGCAACTAATCCAAGGTGATTTATCTTCTGCTGCAGTCTAAACTAGTAGTTTTCCCTTATTCCTCAGGGATTTCTCTATGTGTTGCATGGTAAATGCTTATTTTACTAGATGTTCACATATTTGGAAAGACCTTCAGGGTTTTTTTTCCTATATGGAATGGGTAGGGGCTGAACTTGTAATTTATCTCAGCCTGGAAATTGATATTGATGTAGTAAACATGACGAGGAGGTCTCTTTGTCTCCATTGCAATACCTTTTTCCAAAAGCAGTCATTATCTGGGGGTGTTTTGCATTTTGTAATTCATACACAAATGTACCAGGACTGCAGTTTTGGTTTAGTCCTGTGTGAAAGCTGATGGAGAGCAAATCTCATGTTCAGTTCTCTGCCATGTGTGCTTCCAGCATAGCCTAAAGTTAGTTCTGCTCTGAAGAGGTTATATTTCATCAGTTTTAGTTACTACTGATTGAAAAAAGAAAAAAAGTTCTGTCTAATGAAACTCTACCAAGACTTCAGGTCTGAATTTTCATCTTGAAAGACTTAAGTAACAAAGGCCAAGAAATCCAGTACATTCCTGCTCTACTGCAGAAGAGCAGAACATCACAAAAAGGAGAAAGCCTACTATGGAATCTAAAGGGCACAGCTAAAAGAACAAGTGGTGTGAAAGAGACTGTAATAGAAAGACAGAGGCAGTGCTTGCCATGGAATCAGGACTTGAAAAAGAATGAGAGGTAGTCATTATGGTGATGGCTGGGGATGAGAAAGCATCAGTCAGGAAGCTGAAGTTGTGTCCAAGTGATGGAGTTCAAAAGGACCTCTAACCTTGAAAGGTTAGAAGTAAAAAAGCAAATGGCAAGCCAAAAAGTGACTTGGAGGAGCAGATACAAGTGTCTGAGTAGGCATGAGCTCTTCAGCCTGGTAGAGAGACTGTGGATGTAAGATATGAGAGAAATCTGAAAAATCATGAGTGCCACAGAGAAGATGGACAGCCATTGCTTTTTTTCAACATTTCTTCTGAACGAGAAATGAGTGGATGTGCGGTAGAACTGAAGTCTAAAAACCAAAGTGGTTCTTTGTTTAAGAGACCCCTGGGGACTCCCTTTGGATTAAAGTTTATACAGGTTGAAAGAGTGACTGTATAAATTTGTAGAAAAGGGGCCTTTTGGATGTTGCTAAACATATAGAAACTGCTGGAAATAGCCAGAGCTGCAAACAGTGGGAGGTCATGGGGTTGTTGAGGGGGACCATCTTCCTTTAGCACTGGTGTTGGTGGCTGAACTTTGAGATGAAGGTGGTGACTCGTAGAAAAACGACTCTTTAACCTATTTTTCAGTGTGTGTTACTCTGGGAATAATACTCTGCAACATTTGGAGTAATGCCCTGGAGAAGCTTAATCAAACAAAAAAGCACTGAAGCAAAAATGTTCCAAAAATGTGATGTCTAAAAGTTTTGTGTTAATTCTGTCTTCACAGGAATCTCATGATCACGTTCTTTTGGATATTCCCGTCACTAGAGAGCAGATGAATCACTATCGAGCTGCAGCTGAAACTGCTCAAAGTGAACTTGCAGTACTTTCAGTGAAGTATGACTGTGCCCAATCAGAGGTACACCTAATAATAATTTCAAATCCTTCTCCAAACCTGAGGATATTTTGTAGTCTCCTTATGTAGAGAATAGAAAGCTTGCAGAAAGTCTGAAACTTGCTTTTCCTACAGAACTTTTGGGTTTTTCTTTTTAGAATGTCTGTGTGATTTATACTTTGTTTCCTTCTGTAATCAAGAACTGATTCTAAGTTTGTATTTTGGAGATTTGAAGCAGTTTTTTATCATCATCTAAGTGCAATATGTTTATATTAAACCTGAAAATTAATTAAATTGTGGTTGTATAAATGTTCAGATAGCCTCCTCTTCGTGATGGTGAGTTAAGATCTAGCTGCTTATCTTTACTCATGTCTCCCTTTTATTCAAGTTATGGCTCCCCAAATGTGCTCTGCTTTCGTCACCAGTGAAATTGTGTTTGTGCTAATGAGCTTGATTGTAGCTAGAGAGACTGAAGAGCATGTACACGTACTTTTTTTACTCTTCCTGCTCTGTAGATGGAGTTTCTCCGGAGAGGATTTATTACAGGATAATTTTTAGAACCGCCTTATTCCCACAAGTATTTTTTTTTTAAACATATAACTGGTTAAAATTGATTTGATTGAAGTCAGCAATGTGGGCAGTGGTCAGTTTTAAAGTGGAATAAAATTTGCCTTTAGAAGACATGAAATGCTTACATTAATTCACATACAGAACTACAGGCATAAGTGGCCATTGACTGAGGTTTAATTTGATCAGTTGATCCTGAAGTTACTGCAGGGTTCTCCTACATTTAACATTTATCCAGAACTGGTGCCTTACATTTAAATTTTAAGAAGCCATACAGAATCTAATGTTCTCATACAAAGAATTTATTACTGGAAATGTTGAATGGCTTTATTGCCAGAACGTCTGACTGATTTATAGATTTTTCAAGACAGTGCTTGCAAAAGCATAGTCAAAAAAGCAGCTGTTCATGCTCTTGTTAATAAAGACCTTCATGACCCAGCTGAGGTCAGAGCCTTGTTCTGCTGAGTGCTCTGTAAAACTCATGATATGGGATTATTCTTGCTTTTTCTGCTATTGGAACTGACCACAAAGACAATGGACAGATGAAAAAATATCACATGGGGAGTTGAACCACAGAGAAATGTTAAGGTTATGAACACTCTAAGATACCATAGCTTGGTCCAGCTGCCAAGCAAAGCAGTGCTATTGTTCCTTCAGCTGCTCATTTCCTTCCCCACACTGCCCCACCCCTTGTGCCTGTACAGATGTATGTCTAGTTTTTACAGTGCGCTGTTGTGTCCATGCAATTGAAAAATAATTCCTTTCCTTCTGAGTTGCTTTTTAGCCAGATCAGTTTCCCAATCTTATTTCACCTTGTAGCCATATAAGTGCTTCTTCTAGCACTGAGAGGAGGGTGGAGTATGGAAATGAAGCCCATGGACCTGGGAAAAAGCCAAGCTGCTTTTCTCGAACTCAGTGCTGCTCCAGAGTATCTGCTAAAGCTGCACTTGAACGTGAAGCATAAGCTTACTGAAGACTGTGCTGCTGCTGCAAGGCTGATCCTCCCACCTGATTCCTCAGCGTTAGCCTTCGCTCTGTGATTCTCTTTCTCCTCTGCAAGAGAAGTGAAGTATTTTTTATGGGTTGTTATTGAAGTTGTTTGTAGGGGAGTCGGACAAACACAGGGCGGGTGCGAAGGAGAGGACAGGCGTGCGTGGCTGGAAGGAGGAGAAGCAGGACCTCCCTTTTCCAAGACAGTTGCTGTTCTGTTGCCTCACTAGCCTCTCAAATTTCTCTGAGTATCTTGGGTCACACTGAAAGACTCCAGCAGAGAAGTGAATTTCCCGTTGTTCTGGATTGCAGTGTAATGTCTTAAATATTTTTTTCCCTTAAAATGTTTGCCACAATTTAGAAGTTTAGTCATTCACCATAAAGAACAGTTAACTTGGCTAAATTATTTGCCTGGAAATTTTATGTGATAGGACAGAAGTCCTTCAGATTGCATCTTGCTGCTGTTAGTTGGAATTTTCAGGAAAACCGAAACATGCCTTAACACTTCTTGTGCAAAAAAGACCACTTTGAATTACTTGTTCCTAATAAGAAAAAAAATCATATGGGAATTTTGTTTGCCTGGTGAGTCTCCCTCATGTGCAGTTTCCTAGAGAAACTTCAAACAGAAATAGTTCAATGGAAAATGGTATTTTTTTAACAAAAAGAGAGAGGAAAATCTACTAAACTCCATAAGCTCTTGGAAAGCTCTAACATCATCCTTGTAAGAGGTCTTTAACATTCAAGGGTGATTTTCCTCCTCCTACCCTTCCTTAAAAGGCTCTGTTGCTGTTTCTGTGTAAATACAGCTACATTTAATTGGATTATCATACTCAAAAATAACTATTTGCATAAGATGAGAAGAGGGTGCCTACCACACAATGCTCCAAAACCTTACTTGCCTCTGAATATGCCTCAAGCCATCAAAAGGCTCCACATTCATACAGCAGGATACTTTGCTGTTACAACTCCCTGCAGCTCTAGATTATCTGTGGAATTGAGCACCAGATTTGGAAGCAGCCAGGCAGCAGGCAAAAAAAGAGGGAATAATGGTGTTAATAACTTTGCTGTACTGCAGATACATAGGAGACATGAGTTAAGGTTGTGCAGCAGAACTTAATTTAGACTTCTCCTAAATTCTGAATCAGTAAATAAGCTTATTTTCCTGTAAGATGTTGTCTTGAAAAGTTGTACTGTGTTACCCAACAGTAGCTTCTGTTTTTGCAAACCTCTTTCATTTCTTTTTTCTAGTCATATGAAAGTAAAGTTGTGTCCCTCTACTCAGTCTTGTAGTGATAGAAATGTGTTTTCACATTACTAAGTTTGTAATACAGTAATGTTATTTCAGGCTGGGAAAACCATTCTTCATTAATTGTCTCCTTTTCTATCTATAGCTGCTTAAACTCAGGTCGAGCATGATCTCTAAAGAAGCTTCTTTTCAAGAGCTGAAGGCTGAAGCTGAAAGCTACAAGGAAAATGAGGCTAGACTGATGTCCCGCCTCCTGTCTTTGCAAACGCGAATCCAGGAGATGGAGGAAGAGCTGTGCGTGCTCGCTGCTTCTAAAAACCAGGCTGAGCTGGCAGCGCAGGTGGCATATAAGGAAAATTTGGAGCTGAAGGAGGAACTTCATGAGAAAAGTGCAGAACTTAAGTAAGAGTCATGTGAGATAAGAAACAACTTTTTTTGGGTGGGATGAGACAATGGTACATTTGTCAATATAGAAAAATAAGTAGGTAGATAGACTTTATTGCAGTTCTGAATTCTGTTACAGTGCTTAAGTGTGTGGAAGATGTTGAAATTTGAATTTTGTTTTGAGTTGGTAGTCAATACCTAGAGGTTTGAATGTTTTGTACTTTGAAGGTGAAATGCATTGAACTTATAAAATATAGTATCCTTTAACTGTACTGTTCTTAGCATAGTGTATCAGAGCACTGATATGTCAGTTCTGCATAATTGCTCATGTTTCGTGTCTGTAGGATGGAGACTCGTAGCAACATTGATTGGTATGAAAATATTCCGAGCTCTTAAATTCCAAAATCAGTGTCAGTCCTATTAGTAGACACCTGGACTTTTAAAATAGATTTTTCTGCCCATTATCAGACTAATATTTGTGACTATATCAATACTGTCTAGAGCAAGGAGTGAGTGTTTACCAGAGCAAGGTGTGTGTTCACCAGACACCTGTCTTTCCCAAAGGAGTGTTTGACACATCTCTGCCAGGTTTTATGCATTAAAAGTGAATAATTAAGTAATTTTAAAACTTAGAGAAAACCATTACAGTGCACTTGTTTATTAGCAGCTGATTTGCCAAAAGCCCTGCCTGGAGAGTGCAGTTTTACATAATGGCTGTTAAGTTTCTTTAGAATGCTGTTTGTGGTAGGGGAAAAAAAATAGGAAGAAGAAGAAAAGGGAAGAAAAACCTCCTATCCCGTTTGCTTACCTAACTCCCTGGGAGAAAACTTCTGGAATACTGTGTTTCATACTTGCCTGCCATTATAGTGATACAATCAATTTTATGGGAATAAATCTCTCCTGTCACTCCCAGAGCAGTCCTGGCTGCTCTCTTTGGCATACAATGCTTGTGTAATCAGTTCTGTTTGTGCTGATGTGTGGTGATCAGGACCAGGGGACTGCTCCAAGAGAGAAGTGAGCAGAAAAAAAGCTTGATTTCCACCTCTACCAATCCCAGCTCTGGTTCACTGTGTGCCTGGAGTGTGCCACTGGACTTCTGGCAAAAGGGAGGAGACGCAGGGATAGTGACTCTGCTCATTTGGAAGGAAAAAAGACGTTCGGTTGCTCATGAATGTGCAGTGTTTGCTTCCAAAGCTTTTTGTTGTCCTCAGCTAATGGTTACATGTGTCACTTCACACTAACCAATGTGTTGACTCAGTGGACTTCTGTCACTTTTTCTGGCCACCCTGGTAGTGCATGGCATGTGACTAGTCCTAATTAGGTGTTTGAAAAAGATTTTCACTTAAAACCACTAATGAGAGGGAAGAGCAAGCCAGCATGCATGAAGTGCACATTTACATCCTATATCTTGGGGATACAGTAAGAAATGTTTGGTGAATTCTCTGATTGGCTTCCAGGATGTGCACCTCTCCTATTGAAAATGGTGCTTTTCTACTCGACATGTCTATTGCCATGGTATTTTTAGAGTGTGAACTGTCAAAAGCTTTTTTCTTCTTCTTTTTCCTTCCCTTCTCTTTGCTCATTAGTTCTGAAGAGCTAGCAAAACTGTGAAAAAGCTGTGTTCTACTTTTTTGTACCTGATTGCCTATTTTCTAGGTGCTCACACCTCTACGGCCCTACTGCAAGTAATTAGATTATTCGTAAAGTTATCAAATGAGTGCTTTGTACTTCAGATTTTTTATTTTTAGCAGCAGGCATCGTTTTGTTAGTGGATACCTCAGGTTTTTAGAGCCATGGAACAGTTGTGGGTGGTCAATCTTATATAATATTCTGACATATAGGCATGCTTTTGTGGCACGTCTGAGCCTAATACCTTTTCACTTCTGATATATCCCTCCTCACAACAACAGTGTAGCAATCATCTCATGGTTTACTTTTGTTGGGGCTGCAGAGGAAAGGAAGGTGCCCAGAGGTGAGGAAGCTGTGAGGGTTCTTGTGCTCTGAGGGACAGTGTCTGCTGCAGAAGGCAGAGCTCTTTTGGCTCACGGTGTGTGCTGTGCAGCGCCGTGTGGAACTGCCCTCACAGTGTCCAGAGCAGTAATGAATGTTTTCTATCCCTCTCTGTTATTCTGCCACTCTCTTCCACTTTGCAGCATTTTCAGCAGCTGTGCTGCTCTCCCCCCTAAGGTTATGTGTTAAATCTTTTCATGGGCTGTTTTGCTTACTGATTTATAAGCATTCATTGTACTGTGTTTGCACCCACTGTGCATCTCCCATTGGAGTCTCTTTGGTTATGGAATGATGCTCTGTGATTGCCAGCTGGGAGAGGAAGAAATCAGACATGGAAAAGAATGAGTCCAGCAATGACTGCTCTACCCATGTTAAAAACTGTCAATAGTGCTATGCTCTGATAAGCAAATGAATTTCAATGAAATATTTGCTCTAGACACTCATTTGGTTACGTCTCAGGTCTTGTATTCTAGAGTGAAGAACTTGCTTTAGAAAGAACCTTGTTTTTCAAATGGAAGCTTGTCTTGTAAAGCCTTACCACTACCAACCTACCACATCTTGCACTCTTCCACTAAGAACCTCCCTCGTGGGTGTTACTGAGAGGTGCTGCAGTTGGCATTTGGATTACACTAGTGGTTGTTTTGAGCTCTGTTTGGTTGGCTGGTTTTGCTAACCTGTTTGTTTGTAGTTTTTTGTAAGTGATGTGTGTTTCAGCATCATGAGCAAGATTTTTTTCTGTGTTTCCTACCGAATCAGACTGTGGTGGTCCTTGTTGGCTGGACCCATCTTTGTCCCTGGCAAGGGAAGGAAAGTAACCACATTTATATTAAACTCACTGTTAATTTATTTGGTTGGTTGTTCTTGTAGAGTTTTCACAAACAGAGTATCCGTGCAATAGGCACCTGTTGAGTGAAATTGAAGGCAAAATTGCAATGAAATTCCTGGCAAAAAGCTCCCTTTTCTTAATATCTTTGTGATAGCCCCTAGATGCTGTCTTTTTAAATGCATCCCTTTCATGAGTAGTGCTTCAGAGCACTGTACAGCAAAACAATATGTCTCCCATCTCCGCTTCTGCTGATAAACTTCCCTTCATGGGTACTCTGGATGCCTTACACTTCCATTGGTCCAGAAAGGCTTCTCTTTACTTGAAGTTTGTCAATCATCTCTGTCAGCTTCTTTAGAGAGAGGGCATGTGAAGTGCTTTTCACATATTTTTGCTAAGAGTTGATCACTCTCTCCCCCACACTTACTTTTTTCTAAGGTTTTGCTTGCATTTTCTCCTTGTAGTACCTTGAGGACATTATTTATTCATGTCACTTAATTCTTGTATTTTATTAGAATTTATGCTGAGAATGAGAATGGGATCATAGATTTTTTTTGTGTTAATCAAAAGCAATGATGAAGAAATGTTTACACATAAGGCAACAGCAAAAGTTGTATGCATTACATAACAGATATAGAGAAATTAAATGTAATTTTTAAAATTCATTTGGTGGTATGCAGAAACTAGCAATAGTCTTGCAGCAGTGCATTTTGCCTAGAATTCTTTTTCAGGGAGCATTCATCCTGATGTGTGTATTTTTCTCTGTCTGATTAGTAAATATTTGAACGAGTATGAAGAAAACATGACTCAATCTTCTAAAATCAGCAAAAACTATGAAGAGCTCCTTGCACATCTTTCTGGATTCTTGGACATAGACATCAGAGAAAAAGAGAAACCACAAGAACATTTAACATCAAAGGTGATTGTGTAGGCAAATGTTTCCCTACAGTGATTTAACAGAAAAATATTTAGTTGTCACAGAAGTAAAGCAAATAATAGAGATCTTTGCATTTAATTATGTTTTGCAGACAGTGCTATCGTTTAAAGGCAGATTTTTTTTCATACTGGGCTAATTTTCAAAGGTGCTGAAGACTAATAAGCCTCAGTGAACTCAATCTGCTCTTATCTGCATAAATAATTTATCAGCCTGCAGTTCCCGCGTACAGCCCTGATTAGATACTTGGTTACAAGCTTTCCTTAAAACATTAATGTGGGGGTCAACAGGTGGTGTGTAAACTGCAGCACTAGATCTTATCTCTTATCTTGAGCTGCCATACCATTAAATGCAAACACTGAAATGGCATGCCCTAAAACAACATTTTCTGTGTCCTGTAATGAAATGCTATAAATAACTTTGTGGTGTTTCTGAAACTTAATAATAAATATTTATAATTTCTCTTCAGAATACTTCTGAAGTTCCAAAAACTAAGTTTCCATTTAGGAAAATAAAGTTGTCTGCATATTCTTTTTAACATCTATCAATGCTGCTGAAAGTAATTTTATTCTAATTTTATTAGTTTAACTCATCTTCTGTCCACTCTTTGATCTCTATTTTTCTTCACTTTGGAGCACAATAGATATCTGGGGAAATTCTATTTCATTATGTTCATGTCATTGTAAGATTACAGTCTTAATAAATCAAGATTATCTAGGTATGTATCACAGTGAGTGTACGCCCTCATAATATTACATAATATTGCAAGCACATCGAAATTTTAATAGATGCTCTAAAAATGTTGCGTAAGATGCACTCTTGCATGCTTTAATAATTAATAAGTTAATATTTAGAGCTTTAAAAAACATATTTTCATGTATTTTAACAAAGTAGTGATAAATCTAGTTGGGAAATCTAATTTGTGCTGAAAGCTGTGCCTTAGGAAACCTTAGCAGCTAGTTTTTCTGGGGTATTGGCACATCTATTTAGCTTCTTTTCCACGTTAGGTTTTTATTTAAGAGAGAATTGATCTGTTTTAGTCTTAACAAATGTCTTGCCAGCAGGAATCAGGGTACATTTTTTTGCTCACTCTTTGAAGTGCCCACATTCATCTATTGCACTGATTGGAAATAGCATAGCATACCAAAACAGCCCTAGAATCCTCCTGGAAAGGATTCCTTTTTCCAAGGTGCTGGCTGCTCATAATGGCAGCACACCCGGTATTTGGCCCTGTCCTTGAATGTGCTTATAAACATAAATATCTGGTGCTTAAAAAGTTTTGAGCATGAATTGCAGCTTTCTTGTTCCAAATGAAAGGCACACATCTTGAAAAGCCAGGCTGAAAAGGTTTGCTTTTCACATGAAGGAGCTGCGTGGTCTGTCTTCTAACCTGCCTCCTGTCGAGCATGGATATGCAGCAGCAGAAGCTCTCCACCTGTTTAATACATCATAAAGCCTGTGTGGGAGCAAATCTGAATCACATTTAGCTAAGGTGGGGGTTTATAGTGAAGATATAATTCTATGATTTTAACTGTCTTTCTACTCTTTTTCTGAAGGAGCAGTAGAGTGCAATTATAAGTCTGACCTAGGGGTCACCAGAAGCATTGAGTCTTTATTGGCTTGATTAGGAGCAGGTATAACTGGGATGAATATTTTTGATTTTTAAGAGCTTCTAAGAAGCTACTAACATTTGATTTATTTCTCAAGGTCTCTGAAATATGTAAAGAAAATGTGACATTAAAAGACCAGGTTGCTGCTCTTCAAGAAGCTGTGAATGTCCATGAGATGGAGTCTAAAGCTAACAGAGAAACTATCATGAGACTAGTTTCAGAAGTGGCCAAGGAGCAGAAAAAGGCAGCAGGATACTACCAAGACATGGAAAAACTTAGTAAGGTACATAATGGCATGGTGTGTATGCTTATCTGGTTTTCAAATGTTTTCTCGAAATTTGAAATTAATTTTCAATAGGAATTGCATGAGAAAAAATTATGTTGATTAGGGTCTTTCCTAAAAAGGACATTTTTCTGAGGTTATTTTCAACTTTCTGGAAATGAGGTATGAAGATTAAACAATAACATTTTGTAAAATAGATCTGAGGTAGATTTGATGGCTTTTAATGCTGTTTGCAAATGTCTATTTTTGCTGTCTTTGCAGTGTTGTAACCTTTGTGCTTGCACAAACATGTAAATAAATGAATGTGTATATTGTTAATGTCTGAGGCACAAGTATGAAGTGGTGAAAAAATGCTTTTTAAAATAATATTTATTTGCTACTGCCAGTTTTGTGAGAATTTTTAGACTCAGTTTTACAAAAATTCTAATGAGAAATTGAAAGGAATTGATTGGACACTATTCTTTCTCTTAAAGCACTGGCAGGTTAAGTGTCTTGGCTTCCATACACACTAGATTATCTTTTCACTGCCTTATAAATTTGTATTTCATAACCATTGACTCATAGCCAAAAAGTTGTAGCAATAGGATGGCTCTTGCAGGAAAGCAAGAAGTTTCCCTGTTGGGAAGCCTTAGAGGAAATCTGTGCAGCAGGAAGCATGGTCAGATGAGAAATGTAAGTTAAGTCGTAACTCAAGTATTTCAAATTCACTTAGCCATGATTTGTGAAGGAAAAGGATGTGATTTAAGGATGGAATTGCTCCAGGAGAACTTGCCATTAAGGATTGAATTGCTCCAGGAGAACTCTTAATGGCGAGTTTCAAAGGATGTTTCAAAGGATGGACGAACAAAGTGCATTTCTGTAGCAATTTTGCAATTTTCCTTATTGCTTTGCACTTTGGTTGATGTCTGTGGAAAGGAAGCAGTTTAGTGAAGCCAGAATGAAGATTTCCTGCAGGTGAAACAGTGCAGTTAAAGCTGATGGCCAGAACGTGAGAAAATAAGAGAAGAAACTTAGACTGCCGAATACATAGCTGAGTTGTGTGTGACTGAGTTTGTAGGAATTTTTAACATAAAGACAACCTTGTGCAAGTGAGTTTTCCAAAGTAATGCAGCATTTTCCCCACCCCTGGCATTCCTCTTTTCCTGAAGAAGAGACACCCACCGTACACGTTGAAGGATATAGTGTTCTGATTTGGTTGTAAGCAAAATACTTAGGAGATGAGAAATAGCTGGCAGCCTGCTCTGGAAAAGAAAGAATTTGTGGGGAAGATAAATGTAAGTACCACAAGGGTAATAAATTTTTTTTACTGCCGAAAATAGTTCTTACCAAGCTGTGTACAGTTTTCTAAGACTCAATGGAACTGGGAGAGAGCCTGCATCAAAAATTTAAAAGGGTCCTTTTTGAGAACATTTTGTTTTCATGCTTCACTTCAAACACAGGTGTGTGAGGAAGAAGAGAGTGTAGTTTTCTCAGTAAGCCAGAATCAGGAGATGTTTTAAACCAAGATCAGGGCTCCATTTGTGGCTTGTTTTTCAAGTTTGTTCCAACTGCCAGAACATTTACCAAGTTGAGCTATTTTCTGAAAAATATTTTCCTATCGTTATTTTTACATGTGCCAAATACATAATTTATTTAACCAATTTTGCAGAAATATATTTTATTAGTATTGCCTTTCAAAAGGATTGCCTTTGAAAAGCCCCATCTGCATAGAGGCTGCAGATTCCTCCAGTGCAATTTCAGTTTAGCAACTTACATTTGCAGACACTGAGTAAATCTGTTGAGAAGGTTCTGTGTTCACAAAAGCGTATGAAGAAGTTCAATAGTGAAAAAGAAAGCAAAAAACAAAAAATGCTTTAAGTCTTCACGTGTGAAGTGTGGGATCCTCTGTTCCCTTGGTGGGTGTCTGGCTTGGTTACAGGAGGGGCACCAGTGGCACAAGTCAGTGTGACTTCACCACATACCTCATGCTGCACAGTTTAAGCACATGAACAGAGCTGCTGCATGTGTTGTGACATGTTCCCCTGTCAAGGTGAGAAGCAGAAATCCATACTGCTCCTGCGCCAGAAGACTCATACTTGGCTGTGTGTTTCTGGGCTGTTTTCTGGACTTAATGGAGTTGCCTGTAGCTGAATTCACCCAGCAAAGGCTGAGTACAAGTGACTCTGCCTGCGTGTGCCAACAGCTCTCAGGGCCAAATATTTTGGCCGTCTTCAGTATTACAGATGGAGATGGCAGCCCATTTCCCCCAGTTTTCTCTTAAAATTCTCCCTAAGTGTATAGGGACCATCACACTCTTCTGTCAAGATTTGGCCACCACACTGTTCCCTGCCACCCTTCTGAATAATTGCCTGTTTTAGTTGCCAGGTAGTTCTCCACTCCTATTCCTTAGGAATTTTATGAATTCCTTCTCTTGATCAGGTGCTTTTTTTTTTAATGTTCCACGGGGAAGTAGCTGCCTGTTTCCAAAAATTCTTACTGAATAAAATGAAAGCCAGTTAATTACATTTTAAGGTTAATGTATTTAAAATATTCTTTAGCTTGTTTGATATTTGAATATTTGTTGCAGTTAGCTGGGCTCCATTTGAGGAACATTAACAAGTGAACAATCATTTTATCTGTTCCACTCTCAGTCTCACTGCATGACAATATCAAGCAGCAAAGAATAAAAGCCAATAATTCCTGAAACTAATAGAAGTAAAAAAAAAAAAAAAAAATCAAGAAGCTGGTTTTTCCCCCCCCCTAATCTATTATTTTTATTTATTTCTGAATATATTCCTCTATTTATTTCTAAATTTCTCATGTTTCTGATAGAATATTGCAAGATTTTTCTTCTGGAAATCTGTAAATATTGTGCATACCTTTATTATGGCTGCATTGGATATCAAATTTGCATTTGATGAAAAACAACTTTTAAACCCTGCCCAGATTTCTAGACTGAGAATCAGAATATCTGAACTTTCTTTCTGTGTTTCCAGAAAGTGATTACTGATTATGATAATCGTAATTAGAGAATTTTAACATTCTTTGAGAGTGTCTATAGTTCCTCTAAAATGTCTTATGTACTCTAAGCAAATATTTAATAAATATTTAATATTTAATATTTAATAAATTTACTATTTAATAGACTCCTCTATGGTATTTTATCTAAGATATAGAAGAGGATGCATATATTCTTCCAGGTTAATTTAAATAGAGCATTGCCACAGATGAACCACAAGAACTTTCTTGTTCTTGTTCTGTTTCACATCTTTGCTGATGGTTCAACCTGGAAATATTTTGCAAAGATGTGCACCGTGCAAAGTCTTTAAAGAATACACTTAAAATATAAGCAAGCAATTTTAATTAATACAAATACATCTGCATTTACTACTGATGCAAAATTCACCAAGAAAATATTCTTCAGTATTCAATATTGGCTTATATTATTATGTTAATGAACAAAATAGATCTAAGTGGTTTCTAATCAATATAAACACATTAAAATAAATCAATTTTATGAAAAGAGTTAATTAAAATATGAAAACCTTATTTAAGGAATTTCACTGAACTTGAGAAACATGGCTACATTTTGAATACACCCAAATACCTAGATTGTAGGAGAGACAGCAAAATGATTTTAGTTTTTTTTGTCCCAACAGATAAATACAGGAATCAGTTTCTCAGAACTTGGATTTTTTTTTTTTTTTTGTTTTTTTTTTTTTTTTGTTTATAAGATGGTGCGGAAATACATATTAGAAACAGGTTTCAACCAGCATCACAGATATTTCCAGATGGAATCATTTGAGAAGACAGGAGATAAGAGCAAAGTAGTTTACAATCCTCAGAGTATAACAGTAGTAACTGGAGGTGCAGCTGGTGTAAGAATTGATCTGGATAATACCTGCATTCTTTTAATACCTTTTTATTACTGTTAATGCAATGTGGGCTCTTTTTTGTGTATGTACATGTCGTTGATGTTAGTCTATTGAGAGCATGCTGCTGATTGGGGTGTCAGTATTAGTAGAATAATGGAATTATTTGGGTTTGGAAAAGACCTGTAAGTTCATGGAGCCCAATTGTTAACCCAGCACTGCTGAACTCGCCACTAAACCATGTCCCTAAGTATCCTGTATACAGTATCCTGTATCCTAATATCCTGTATATCTCTAAGTATATCTCCAGGGGAGGTGACTCCACCACTTACTTCCCTGGGCAGCCTGTTCCAGTGCTTCATAGCCCTTTTGATGAAGAATATTTTCCTAACATCCAATCTGACACAATTCAAGGCCATTTCCTACATATTTAAAATGGGAGAAGAAATCGACCCCCACCTGTCTCCAGCCTCCTTTCAGGCAGTTGTAGAGAGTGATAAGGTCTCCCTTGAACCTCCTCCAGTTTAAACATCCCCAGCTACTCCAGATCCTCCTTATCAGACTTGTGCTCCAGACCCTTCACTGGCTCCACTGCCCTTCTCTGGACACCAGAGCACCTCAATGTCCTTCCTGAACTGACAGACCCAAAACAAAACACAGCACTCGAGGGGGTGGCCTCACCAGTGCCGAGTACAGGGGGACAATCCCTGCCCTGCTCCTGCTGGCCACACCATTGCTGATCCAGGCCAGGATGCCATCAGCCTTCTTGGCCACCTGGGCACAGCTGGCTCATGTTCATCTGCTGTCAACCAGAACCTCCAGGTCCTTTTCTGCCAGGCAGTTTCCCAGCCACTGTTTGGAGGCTTGTGCTTCTTTATTTTAGACCTTGATATTTAATAAACTATGTTTGTTTTCAGATGTTCACAATTTAACAAGACGGTGATTAGGTGAGCTCCCTGGTGCTGGCAAGCCATTTTAGCACTGCCTTTCTGAAAGGAAAAATACACACTGCTGAAAACTGTAATTGGAATAAATGACTCTTTATTCTTTGCTGTAATTACCATAATGTAGTTCTGAGCACAGGTGGGAATTTTCTATTAATAGGACTTGTCTAGAATAAAAAAGAGAAATTGGCAAGGAATCAGGCCCACATTTGTTTCTAAAACAATTCTAAAATTACTTCAGAAATGTGTAATAACAAATAATTTCCTAAATGACAGGGGTTGTTTTTATTTATGTTTTTGCATGTTTGCCTTTTCACTGCTATTAGTATTTTTAGTACCATATTTTTATATTTTATTTTCTAAAAGTGCCCTGCAAACGCCTTTGTTTTGGCCACCGTCCCTGCAGATCTACAGAAATGCTCCCAGATTTAACTGCTTGATTGGCAGGTATTCCATTAATACAAATGACATGCTGTGCTCCAGTGGAAGCACACACGGACCCTGAGAGACCCTTGAGTAATCACCATATTCATAACTGCTCCAGGAACAGTTCTCTAACTCCAGTGTGCACAGTCTCAGCTCATATCAGTCCACTTACCACTGAGACCTCCAGAAGAATCCAGTCCCTCTCTGTAAATATTCCATCCTCTGTAGTTATTTTGTGTCATGTATGGAATAATATTCTTTCCCATTTGTTCTTCCCAATCAGAAAATGCCCTGAGAAATGAAGACCTAGTCTTTGCTATACTTTTAGTTGGCCTTGCTGCACATATTTTTCTTGTATAAGTATGTGTAAGCACTCTTAATATTGGTATTGTGGGGAAAGGAGAGACACTCAATACTTTATTTCATTATGTTTAGAGGGTTATTTTTCTTTATTTTTTTCTGTCGTAATTTGTTTTGGTGTCATGGGTCAGGATGCACAGTTCTTTCTGTCTGCTCTGACCTGTTAGGTCAATATTTATATACAACTGATATAGATACATATGTATTGGCTATATTTTATTCCTTCCCAACCAAGCCTTGATTTGCCTGGTCCCTCCCTTCTCATTTCTGTGAATAAATAATCTCAGGAATTTTTCTTGCATAAACTTTTTGTCAGATAAACTGATCTCAGAGATCACCTCTTATCACCATATTCAGGGAGATTGTGTCTGTGGTTTTGGTCAGCTCTGAATTTTCAGGCAGTTGGATTTTATCATCACTGCAAGTCCCTTCCAACTGAAATATTCTATCCTACCCTTTCCCCTCTCAGTTGTAGTACTTTGGCTTTATTTGTGATGCATCTTTTTCACTGCTTGTTTTTCAGGCCGTAATGTCTGGATGGAAAAGTAAGATTTCAATAGTTTTACAATAAAAAATTTGGTTTCATTCATCTGAAATTTTTATTTATGTATTCCTTTTTGCAAACCAATATAAGAGGTTAGGTTTTAGTGTGATTACAGCTGACTTAAGGTTTTCATCAATTTCAGTGGCTGTTCCCCTATGAGACCCTGACACTGAGCAAATATGAGGACTATGGGTCCTAGTTTCTCTGACTGGAGTACGTGCTCCTGAGTTATTCCTTAATTTGTGTGTTGTGGAGAGGGTTTATAACTGATTCTTGTTTAATTTTTCATGCACTTCAGGATCTTGACAGTGCAATAATAAAGAGGCAGAGTTTAGAGATGGAGATGAGAAACCTCCAAGAGAAACTGACTGTTAACCAGAGAGCTTTGGACACCTCAAAGCAGGAGCTGCACAATCTGAAGAAATCTTCCCGTGAGTTAGATGCAAGCTTGAAGAGTAGCAGAGAAGAGGTCAGGACTGCTCAGGGGTCTTTAGAGGCTTTTAAAGAAGAAATTGCTACCCTGCTCAGCTGTGGATCTGCAACAGTTAAACCTTCTGAGAAGGCCATTTTGGAGAGGATCCAAGAAATAAATTGCAAAGAGGAGAATAAAGAAATAGTAAGTCAGCAACTACTGCAATGTGTGTATTTATTCCCTTTGGGTTCTCTTTCATTTTATTCAACTGGTAGAGTGTTGATTCTTTCTGCTTAGGTTTTGGGATTACAGAAACCTTTAATTTTTTTGTTGTCTATTGATTTAAGGTAATAGAAGAAAAGCATCTATGTTTTACTAAGCAGGAAGAGTTCAGAAGAGTTCAAAAATTAAATTAATAATAGATGATGTTAAGAAGAAAAGACTTGGAATGGTCTTTCAGTTACAACATTGAAATTTGGTTTCTGTGCCAGCAGACATCAAAGAACACTGGTTGCTATGATTTAGTAAAACCTGTGAACAAGTATGGATTTGCTGCTGCAATGGTGACTTCAAGAACTGACTTCTTTCTCAAAGCAGATATAATTGATGAGTTGCCACAGGCAACTTCTTTCCATCCAGTCCTCAAAAGCTGCACCTAAAAATAAAAATGTGTCTTTACACTTACAGCTAAACATTATTCAGCATCCAAAGAAGGTAAAAGGAAGGCTCTGGCTTGAGGCATTTGGGCTGGTAGTTTGCAAAGGTGTGTTTGAATGTATAGATAGAGAAGGGTCAGCTCAGAAGGAAGGTGAATCAGAATGCAGCCTGACCAGTGTCAGTATCCTGACACTGCACTGAAGTTTCTCACCTGCTTGCTTACAATTTATTAATTTTGTCAGTGAGGACTATTTATATAATTGAAAGTCACATACTAAATCCAAAGCTGCTTTCAGTGAGCCACTGAAAACCAGCTCTGATATTCTTGTCAGATTTTGAAATTGTAATCTCTCCTGCTGATGTGATAGTTTTTAATGACAGCAAATGGTTTTGTATTCTGTCCAAGGCTGGAAATAGTCCTTGAAAATATCCTGTGCATTTTGGTGAAGTACTTAAAAAAAAAACCAAACAAAAACCTGTGCCATTGTCCATCTTGCCTACCTGGGCACATTGTTGGCTCAGTTTCAGCCAGCTGTTCACCAGCACCTACACATCCTTTTCCACCATGCTGCTTCCCAGCCACTCTGCCCAGCCTACAGCAATGTTGTGACCCAAGGGAAGGACCTGGCACTTGCAACTGGTGCTTTGCCTTGTTGAACTTCATACATTGGCATCAGCCCATTGATCCAGCCTGCCCAGATCCCTCTGCAGGGCCTTCCTACCCTCCTACAGATCCACACTCAGATCCTGCTTTGTGTAACATATAAAATGATTGTAGTCTGAAATTATCCAGTAGCCACATTAAAACAAAAAGCAGGAGGGGGGTTTTTATTCTTCAGGCTGACTGATTAAGCTGCATTAGTCATAAGAATGAGAAGTAGTAGAGGTCAGAACTGCAGGACCAAAAATGCAGCCTTTGTAAGATGATGGATTAGGCACAGGTGGGTAACAAGGCTGCAGCGTTGTTTTAGGAAATACCAACCTTGTGGGTTGTCCCTAAGCCAAGGATGAAAGTTATACCAGGATGCCCCAGGATGATAAAATGACAGCTTCTGCTCTGCTTCTGTGGTACAGCCCTTCACTTTCTCATGTTTATGGATCTTTGAAGCCTCTGAAACCCGCTCTGCAGCCTGATAAAGGGGCTCTAGGTTCCCTGGCAGCAGCGCATCTGGGGGGGACCAGTTACTGAAATTCTTGTTCCTACTGGGTGATGTGAAATGCAAAACAGCACAAAATATGCTTGTGGGTTCTTGCAGATTTATTATTGTTTAGTGTTGTCTACTGCATGAGCATCAGTAATTTCTCAGTGTTTTTAGGCAAGTTGGGGGCAAACTGTTTGTATTTAATTGCAGTTTGGGTTGGAAGCCTTTCAGTGCCATTAAAATTAATGACAGCTCCATGTACTTACTGTTAATTTTATTAACAGGAACCAACAAGATGCTTAAAATTAAGAGGCTGCTTGGAGATGAGTGTATGAACACTGAGTTTCAAATGCACTATAGTTGTAGTAACCAACTACATAGTAACTATGTAACCAAATAATTATATGACAGTAAGAAGAATACAGAGGGAAACAAGCAATTTGATGTATAGAACTGCCTTTCAGTATTTGGCAGTAGTGTAACCAGATACTTTAAAGCATTTAATTTATACATGGTTTACAACTTAATATCCATTACATTATATGCAGGTGTTGTAAAGTTAACAGTGAAGAATTAGAATTTTTCAGAATTGTTCTAGTTGCTTGTTTTGAGATTTTATGCTTTTATCCTTGGTCTCTGTCTAGATTACAGAAATTATTATTACTACTATTTTTTAAAGCACAGTCTCTTGAACACTGCTTAACAGTTACGAGTTGGGAAACACACCTCTGAGGCTTAATTATCCATATTTGCATTCTCCCCTACGTGCTGCATGTATTTTCTAAATAACTTATATGTTTTTTCTAATCAACTCCTCAATAGAATATTGATTTCTTTGCCTTATTTCAAGGAATGATAGCTGACCGCCCAGGTATTGCTGCTGTGCCCACATCTTTGGAAATTTTCTGTCTGAATTACTTTGTATTGATTTTTTAATACAAAGTAATTGTATTTGACTCATCTTATTTATAGAATCTGCTGTTCATTTTTGGGTATCTCCACTTCTGCATTTTTTGCTGGTGGTTGCAGATTTTTTTTTTTACTTTTTAAATGCATATATTTTAAAGATCGATATTTTGCCCTATTTTTAATAATTTATTGATTTATCTTTCTAGCATTTCCCATCTAACCCCATATGCTTTGTTGGTTTGCTTACTCCCTAGATGGTATCTCAGCTTGAAACACAATTAGCTAAACTGACTAAAGCTTTGGAAAATCAGACCAGATTGTACCATGAAGCCCTGGAGAGGAGCAGGAAAGCTGAAAAATGTTCTGAGAATTTCCATGATCAACTGAAGCACTTGGAAGAGGAATTATTAACTGGAGACCTGATGCAAGATGGTTTGAAGCTTGAGAAACAAAAAGTAGTTGCACACATTATTTACTTTTGAATGGAAGTCACTAAAGGCAGAGACACAGCTCATTGTATTGCTTTGGTCTACTGGAGCACTGCAAGTAATGTGAAATAGCGAAGTCAGATATGATGTAGGGAGTAAATAATACCTTTTCATTGACCAACAATTGGAAGATGTAGCTAAGCTTTTGAGTCCCAAGTCCATTACTGTGAAACAAAATGAACAAAAAACCCAACCCCCACCCAAAAAAAAACCACCGAGTAGAAAACCCCCCAAAACCAAACTACACCCCAAAACCAGCTTAAAAGAAGTCCCTGTCAATACCTCATCAGAAGTCCTTCAATTATTCTCTGATCTCAAAATTTCTCTCATCTCTATGTCTTTCTCTAAAACATCATCTGGTCTGCAATCTCTCAAGATCTTGTCATTAGTCTTTGATTCTTTTTTATTATTATACAATCATGACTACTAGGTTTTATTGTCTAATTGTATGAATGAACACACTGTTAGCCTGTAACTCATTCACATAACAAAGAGTTTGAAAAATGACATAGGACCTGGAAAGCCAAACACTACAGCTACGAAAAGCAAAGCTGTAGCATGTTGCTAGGCCAGGATTACTGCTTAGAGGAATCAACAATTTTGTGCTAGATTATGATAAAATAACTTTTTTGAATGAAGCACCCATCACATTGGGAGAAAACCCAATAAAGGAGCTGCTCCTTCTGCTCTGCTTGTTCTGTGAATAACATGTGGGCCTAGATTCTTAAATTATTCTCTACATTTTGCTGCAATGAAGAGATCTTTTCTGTGATTTTTTTTTCTGTCAATAAATAACTGCAGTGCTTTCCTCTTCTGCTGCTGTTTTTAATTTTTTGAATCAGAAATATGAAACAAAAAGGTATTCTTGTTAATGAACGAATGGTGAAACTGGTTTGTTGATTTTTTTTTTCTTTTAATTTGTTTTGTTGATTCTTTGAAAATATAATGGTTTGCACCAGAAGTAAGAGGAAACAAAGGGAAACAGTTTCTAGTAAGAAGGAGGGTTTTGGATTTTGCAAGAGAAGCTAATTGAGAGCAAGAGACTAAAGCAATTTTTAAAGAGCTGGTAGGGCAGGACAAAAGAAGGAAAAATTGGATTGAATACTATTTGATATCTCCTCAGTAAACCAGATGGAGATGTAATTAAAATAACCTTAAAAGCAATTTGTGAACCAGTAACTTATCTCTAAACCTTGCTGTTCCAAAGAAGGGCTGAAGGCTGACTGCGTTAACATTCCTGCATCTCCTCAGCCTACATCGTATGTCATTTATGGCATCCCTGGTACCAGTTCCCTCTGTTTGAGGGCTCACAGTACAAGGCAATCCCAGCACCTGCAGTATTAGTTAGGACACAGCTGCCCATTCTGACATCTCCCTGCCAATTCATGGCTGTGTAAAACAGCAGAGCTCCAGACAGGAGCTGGAGTCAGAAGCAGGGACCTACCTATTGCTGCAGAGAAGCAAACCCCAATTTTTCCTGCTAAGAAGATAAATACAGTAGATCTAGGGATTTATGGACAAAGTAAGTGTTGACTAATAAAAAGACATACGGAGAATTTTCAGTTGTGTCAGGAGTGTACCCAATTACACCCTTTCAGTACATTATTTCTTGTAGTGTACTTGTACATATTGTTGGTTGCCGCTATAGTGGAGATTGCTTTTAAATTGTACTTGTTCATGACTTTTAATGAAATTTTATTATTCTTCTGCCCACTTTCCCACATCTTAGTATCTGAAATTTCTGGAGCAACTTAATGAGAAGATGAAGCTGGATAGTCTAGCAGCAGAGGTTGGATTTGATATGGCTATGGATGTGATTCTGGCCCGGGTAGAGCAGTTGGTGAAACTGGAAGGGGATGCGGTGGTTGAGAACAAGACTGTGGCCTACAGCCTCAGAAGGAAGGTATGCAAAAAAGACATACCATTCAAAGATAAACATATGGCTGTGTTTCTGTAGTGGCTTGCTAGAGGCAGCAGACTGCATATGTGCAAAGAATTTCAAAGATATCCGTGACATAAAAAGAAGATAGTGAATGTTTGCAAACTGTGCAAAAAGACTACGTATTGAAATATTTAAACCCACCAGTCAGTTGAACACAATACTGCTTTTCACAACTTCTTAAGAAAAAACGATGAAGTTATGGATGTTTATGTCTGTATATTTGTCTACTTTTTAATACACATTTATAGTTCTGTAAACAACTGCCAGTAATATTTAAATCTAAAGGGATCTGCCAAGGAGGAAGGCACATTACACAAACTTCTCTAGAAACTAGTAGGGTCTTGGTTGTACTTCACCAAGAATTGCAATGTTTCCAACAAGAACTGTTCCTTATTCAGTTGTTCCTACAGGAACAAATCTGTTCAAATTTGGTCAAAGAACCCTCTGTCATCCTGTTATGACATAGGGAAATCTTTTGGGTTTAGGCTTGTCAGGCTGGTATAGAGCTGATAATTTGGTCTGTTTGAGCTTTAAGACAACAGAGAAGCACAATGAATTGGTAATACAAGGAATATCTAGTTAGGGTATATATGCTGATACTTCTTCACAAAGTTTTCAAGAGAGGAAAAGGATTTCAGGTTATAAATGCAACATGAGGATTAAATTTGTGATTATGGAGTACATCTTTCACATTTATTTTTTCAAATGTTCCTGTGTTTGGAAATCAAGTTGAAGGCTCAGAAAGAAAAACTTGAAAGCAAAGAGCTGCACATGAACCTTCTGCGCCAGAAAATAACCCATCTGGAAGAAGAGAAGCAAGTAAGGGCTGCCTTAGCTGTGGAAAGGGATGAGGCCAATCTTGCTGTCAAAAAGTTACATAAGATTATAGAGAGGCTACAGAAGCAGCTTGATCTGGCAAGGGAAACAAATACTGATCTCAAAGCCAAGCTGTCTGAAACCAGTGAACTTAAGGTGAGTTAAAAGATTAAATTTGTACTTCTATCCATTTTTCTATTCCACTTGGATACAGCTGGACTTAATTTAAAATAAATGTGTTCATGGAGAACTGCTCAAATCCAGGTGGCAAAAACAAATGTAATACTACAATATTTTAAGTATTTTACAATTTGTCTTGATATGCTAAGTAGCATCTGCAAAGCACAATGTAAATTTTCGGGCTATTTTTACCAACAAAACATTTGACAACTCTTCTTTAGTACTCTTTTTCCAGGGAAGAGAGAGACCCTTCACTGTGGATTTTCTTTTCTGTCCAGATACCTCTTTTCACAAAATCTGTGGAGAATTAATTGTCTTTGAAGGAAAAATCTTTTTATTAATTGTGTTCAAATAGGCCTGTCTCCTTAAATAACATTTTAGTTCACATGTACATGTGATGATTTAATGAAGAACCCAAAAGAAACCACACTAAAGTGCTCCTGGTATTTTTATTGTTTGCTCAAGTTAGATGAAAAAGTATGACAAATTTAACACTTCCTTTTCTTATTGCAGATCAAAACTTTGGAGCAGAACAGAACAATAGAGGAACTCAGTAAGTCTCAAGAGAAATTGGAAAGAATGAAAGAAAAAGCTGAGAAACAGCTTAGATCTGCCAAATCAGAACTACTTTTAAAGGAGCGTAAATCTACTGAAGACAAAGAAAAAACCAAAAATATGTTAGAAGCAGTTACTAGTGAGATGAAAGTGCTTAAAACAACCCTTGCAGAACTAGCAAAAAGAGAGAGACAGGTAGGTGTCCCTCAGAGTGTAGGAAAATGGTATAGGTTGAGCAGCTATCCAGCTGTGCTTTAAACTGTTCCAAACATTATGAAACAAGGAAATTTTAGCTCACATTTGTGAGCCACAGTGACAGTTGTGATTGCAAAACTATTCTGCAAGTTAAGTTTTGCAAGAGAATAATAAATACAGGCATTATTTTCTTTGCTCATCACAAAATATTACATCACCTTTTAGAGAAGTATTAAACTGCTGTAAAATCTCTCTTAAGGTATGTCTTTTTCCAAATATCTTAGGTATGAAACTTACCAACTTCTCATCTGTTTCCTTTTGTTTCTCACACATCCATCTCTTGCACTTTCTCCTTGCCAGTTGTAAGGGATTCAACAAGACTAAGTGATAGGATGAAAGGAAGCAGCCTCAAGTTGTGCGGGGTGGGGGGGAGTTTAGACTGGATATTGGGCAAAGTTTATTCACTGAAAGCGTAGTCAGGCATTGGAACAAGCTGCCCAGGCGAGTGGTTGAGTCACCAGTCCTAAAGGTGTTTAAAAGACACCTAGGCATGCTTTAGTGATGGACTTGGCAGTGCAGGTTAGGAGTTGGATTTGATAGCCTTAAAGGTCCTTTCCAACCTAAATGATGCAAGAAACCTGTGTTACTGTGTATAGGCCACAAATTCAAAGACTCTGGAGAATACAAGAAACAGCCCTCTCTCCCTAGAACTTTATTAGATTTCCCAGCTAAAAATTTTATGGCACATGTTTGCCTTAACAATGACTCTGGATGAAATTTAAGAATGCTATTTTAGAAAATTAGTCTAGAATTTTTTTTTTTTATTTATGTGGAGAGAAGACCAGCAACCTGGCAGTCTTTTTTTCTCCCTGGAAATCTTTAATGCTGTTTTGTTTTATAACAAAGGTTAGAAATTTGAAAGGAAGATTTAATTTCTTCATACATCTCATGAGGAAACAAAGCATTTGGCAGAGAGAAGAAGATATTAATTATATGCAGGAAAATATTCCATGGAGTCATACATTGAATATTTTGCTAAAAGCACAGATACAAATGTTGACTTTTTACTGTCTGAATCCAAGGGGTTTCAAACCATTTGAATACTGGAATATTCTTTGTACTTTTCTTTTTGTTCTCTTTTTCTGGAATAAGATCCCTTCTACTTTCTTGTAGTTACAGTGTGAAAATAAAATATATATTTTACTTCCTCAAACCCCAATATCTTGGGTTAATGCTCTAAGTTGCATTAATTTCCTGTTTTTTTTCTTCTGATAATTTCACTCACTGAATGGAAAGTGCAAAGAAAATTTAGCAGGAGTGTTGTTGTCTGCAGTACACCTTTGTGTTTGAGTCTTTAGTGATGTTTGTCCTTTATTATTTCTCTCCTTCATCCAAAGGCTGGATCTTTGCAGAGAGCTGCCTTATCTTTCAATGTAAAATCTGTATGGAAACAAATCCCAGCTTTGCTGCCTCCTTATCCTGTCTGTGATCCAGATGTTTTAAAAAAATTTTAGCTTCTGCTAAATACTACTTGCCTAGCACACTGCTAGATCCCTGCAACAGTGACCTCCTGAACTAGTGTAGAATATAATATATGGGAACTTCGGGGTTTTGGTGTAACGTTGTTCCAACGTTTGATCCAAGACATCTCACTGCCTTGGTAATACAGATAGTTGGGACTGAATTCTCAAATCACAGAATCATGGAATGGGTTGGATTGGAAGGGACCCTAAAGGTGATCTAGTTCCAACACACCTCCCGCAGGCAGGGACACCTCCCACTAGACCAGATTGTCCAAAACCCCATTCACCCAGACCTTGAACACTTCCAGTGATGGGACAGCACAAATTCCCTGGGAAAAGCTGTTCCAGTGTCTCACTACCCTCCCAGTAAAGAACTTCTTATAATATCGAATCTGAATCTCTCCTCTTTTAGTTTAAAACCCTTCTCCCTTTTCCTATCCCTATATGCTTGTGTAAGGTGTTGGTGTTGCGCTCTCCTTTTTTCTTTTCCTTTTTTTTTTTTTTTTTTTTTTTTTTTTTTTTTTTTTTTTTTTTTTTTTTTTTGGAGTGTTGTGTTTTGCCCCCCTTTTTTTTTTTTTTTTTTTTTTTTTTTTTTTTTTTTTTTTTTTTTTTTTTTTTTTTTTTTTTTTTGTAAGCCTCCTTTAAGTCCTGGAAGGCTGTTATAAGGTCTCCCTGGAATCTTCTCTTCTCCAGGCTGAACAACCCCAGCCCTCTCAGCCTGACTTTATAGAAGGAGTTCTTCAGCCCTCTGATCATCTCTGTAGCTCTCCTTGGGAATTGTTCTAACAGGTCCCTGTCAGACCTCAGCTCTGTTCTGCACTGGTTTCCATATTTGTGTTTCTGAATCGATGGCAGCTCTTCAGGGTTTGAAACAAACAAACTGCCTTTGGCAAAGTCTTGGAAACTGAGACCTTGTTTTCAGGAAAGGAAACCCCTTTCCTCACAGACTTAACTGCTTCAGAATTCTGCACAGTGTTCTTGTGGTTGGAGACATTTCAGGACTGTTTTCTCCTTATCCTTAGGCCTTGGCATGATTGGTGGAGTGAGGATGCTGCCACATCAGAACATGAGTCCAGTTTCTTAATGGTTGTGATGATTTTGTGGCATTTTGAGTCTCTTTCATACTTGGAAATGGGGATCTTGGCATTCAAATAGAAAGCAGGAAAAGCATATTTCCTCAAATAGTAACATTTTCCTCTTTTATGTGTTGATGATAAGGAGTATTAAAGCATTTGTCATTTTGGCTGTGCAATTTATTGTCTGTTCAAGAGGCCTTGAAGTTTGACTGATAATGATACATATCCCGAGCTGAGAAGAGTAAATCAGCAGTGATGACAGCTACTTGTGGATGTCTACCCATTTGGAACTTCAGAGAGAAAGCTGGTGTCTTTAATTAATTACTTTACCAAATACTATTCCTATGACATTTTCAGCAGCTATGCACAGAAGAAAAACAAGCATTTTCTTAAGCTGCATCTTAAATTTGGGCTGTATCCTGATTCAAATCAAAGTCAGACTGCAGGATGTGCCAAAAACTTCCACCTTTCTTCTAACTTCCTCCTTTCTTTTTTCTCAAGAAAGTGCAGGGTAGAGGGGTGAGGTGGCAGATGGTGGTCAAGGACAAGCAACAACTTCTGCTCTGGGAAGTGCCCATCAGTTTGTATAATTTTTGGTCATCTGGGTCAAGTAAAAGTGTGTTTTCCTCAGTTTTTGGAAAGGAGTCAGCAGGGAAGATATGCTTGTGAAAGATACTAAAGAAACACTTGAAAACTGTTTTGAGATACTTGACATCTCAGCTGTTTGTGTTTTGTGATTTGATGTATGTCCCAAAGGGCTGTTTCTGTCCTCTTCTGCTCCCTGTATTGAGCAGAAGAGGACAGCTGAAATGCCTACATTTAGCACTGATAACACAAGTGCTTGTGTTTGTATGTATGCCCATATGTACATGTTTTCCCTGACATCTGCCTTGCTTCCTATTTGAGTAATTCCTTTCTGTTTGCTCTTGCAGCTGGCAGATTTCCGAGAGGTGGTCTCGCGGATGCTGGGCCTCGACATTGCCAGCCTGGCTCTTCCTGACTATGAAATAATTTCACGTCTTGAAGGGCTGATTCACTCCCATCAGCACCTCTTCTTCCCCTGTGTCTGCCTCAAAGATGTGGCAAGGACCCCAGAGGAGCAGCAAAGAAACATCCAGCTTCTTCACTGAACGGAGGTGGAACAAAGTAAAATTTTCTGTTTGCTTCCTTACCTGCTGGACCTCCACAGAAAACAGATCCCTATTTCTGCTCCCTATTCTAGACACACCAACTAGGGCTGATCTTTAGAACTTTAACAGAGAGACTGACTGGAATGGGTAGAGTCAAGCCAGCAGCCTGGAGATGGCAAACAGAAAACCCTGGGTAGCTTAATACATCAGTTATGAAAATGGTAGGCAACACATCAACAATGCCCTCAAGTTTCAGTGCAGAGGCATTAAAGCAATGGGTCACCCCAGGTCAGCTCACAGTTTTGAGAAGTTACTGGATGCCTGCTTCAGTGGCATTCCTTGTGTTTTACTTCTAGGTGACAAGGATGAAATCAAGTAGGGGTTGTTCTGCTGCTTGTTCTTGCCACCTGGGACATCTCTGCATTTGTACACATAAGGGCTTCAACACAATTGTCTGCAAGTTAGAGGATTATCTCAATTTGGGAACAAGAGGGTTCTTTTTTTTTCTGTTGGCTTCTTTTGTCTGCTCGTATGGCAAAACAAAAAATTTCATTTTTGCAGCAAAGGCTTTCTCGCAGGGTCCCGTCATTTGCCTCATATAAATATATTTGGTAAAATTGAGTGTTGGCCTTGGTCATGATGTCTTGAAAAATTTGTTTCCAGCTGCTGTATTCCTTGGGCAATTAATCCACAGTGGCAATTCTTCTGAGTTAACGAAAAATTATTTTAGAATTCTTGTTCACTACAGAAAATAGCTGAACTACTGAAGAGTTTATTTTCAGAGAAATGATGATGAGGTGTACAAAACTACCTCCTAATCACAAAAACTGCTTTCTGAGTGTTGTTAAATTTCATGTTTTTTAAAAAGAAATATGGACAATAAATCTGTTTTAATAGCACATTCAAACTTGATTCTGTGGTTTTAGTTGTCTCTTCCCTTTATATGTTTTGTATGGTTGTGTAGAACAGTAAAGACGACTTACTTATTTTTGTCTTGACCATTTGTGGGCTTTCTACAGTATCTCAGTGAATGATGACCCACTCAGTAAACTGAACACACTATTTTAAGAAAAATGACACTTTTTCATGTAAGAGTGGTAATTTGGGTATCTGGCTGGGGACTCAAACTGTGTTTTTGTTTCTTTGGCTTTTGAAGTATTGTTTCTCATTGACTTGCTTAGAATAAAGAAATAAACACTCAAGCTTTTGTAAAATCAGTCATTTGAGAAGACAGAAATAAATCTTGCATAAATTCTTATGCTTCTGTGGCTAACTGGATTGAAATCAATTTAATTTTTTGTTTTGTAATGTAACATTGTTTTGGGGGGAATGACTTCAAGTGGAAAGAGAGCAGGTTTAGATCAGATATGAGAAAAAAATTCTTTTTTTGTGTCAGTAGTGAGGCACAGGTTGGACAGAGAAGTTGTGGATGCTCCATCTCTGGAAGTGTTCAAGGCTGGATGAAATCTAATTTTTAGGCATGATAGATTGAATGGGGATTTGGTGGGTGGAAAAGGATGCAATAATTTTCTGATTCTTTGTGAGATAATACAAGTAGTTTCACTTTGTGTTTTGTTGGTTTTATTGGCACTTCTTTTTGATTTATTACTATAGAACAAACCCCATTTTCTTCATCCACATTAATAAATATCATACAAAACATGATTTACTGTATTTTGTAAGTTAAGTAAATCGCATTACGAATTCAGGTCCACTCAGCCTAGATAATACATTCATCACATTAAGAAATAGTCTCTGAGAGTGACAAATATAAAGTAAGGTTGCATTGTAAAATGATTTCCTGATGTCTGCAATGAGACTTGAAGGCTCCTGTCAGGTCCATGAGCCTCGTCCTCTGCCATCCTGTGACCAGCCCTGGCACCAGCAGTGGAGTTCCAGCCCCACAGAAGCCACCAGCATGGGTCTCTAAACTATTTCAAAGGAGGCAGATTTTCACGTGAAGTTCACAGCAATGCTTGATTAGCAATTTGCATGTTAAACCAGAAGAAGGAATAAAGGTTTTCTAATGCCTTTTTTTTTTTTTTTAGCCCAGCAGATCTGTATTTTCTGAAGTATTAATGCTCACCATGTTCACAAAGGAATATGACCTATTCCTAATAATTAGGAATTACTATATTCCTAATATTAGTATTAGGAAAACTAATATTGCCTGTATTTGCTTCACTTTTGGAACAGTACTGACATATTTCTCTACTTAGCTGAAGAAAAAGAAGTAAATAAATAAATGAATAAATAAGAAGCAATTTGATTTGAACAAAGTTCAGGTGATTTTTGACCTATATAATTTAAGTAAGCCTTGAAAAAAATTGACATTCAATTTTTTTTAAGGCTTGTTCCATACAGCATTGAAGTAAGTCTTTCTTGGGAGAAAATTAGAAGAGGCTTATGAATGTTTTGAACATTTGTTTCAAATGTTTTCTTTTTTATCCAAGGTGCATTGATCACAAGACAGGTGTTGGAAGTGTCTATTAACGTTGAGTCAGCAGACACCCCTCTTCCCATAGGTTATTTTTACTAGGTTTGTCTGTATTAAAAAGGTGTGGGATTAAGAGTTTACTATCTTTTCATAATTACTCTTTTATTGTGGTAAAATATATCAAATTCTTGATTTATCAACAGAATGCATTCTGAAATAGAAGAAATGTATGTTAACTCACAGAACAGTACAGCTACAGAACTACATTTTTTTTTCTCCAAATAACAGATGAACTAACTCCAATGAAGACAACTTTACTAAGTGTCAAGGTAAAACTCAACAAATTAAAATGTTGCAATTGTAGATATTAAAGTGAAATTATTTACATGCTATAAACACTGTAAAAATAAAATCACAAAGTGGACAGAAAAATGGGTGTTAGAATGTTATAAGAGTATTAGAGTACAAGGAAGTGAATTTTTGCCTATGCATCACATTATTGATAATACACTATTTGCAACAGAGCAGAAGCATGCATCACACTATCAATGTAGTAGAACCATTGTTCCTCAAAGAAATTAAGTGCAAAAGTATTCAAGTACTTGCTAAATTGGAATTAAGATGCATCAAGACAGATCACATTAAATTACTCTTTAAGTTCTGTTGTTCTGTAGTTTATTATTACAGTATAAAGCAGTTTGCTTGCTTTTTCACATTTTCAGTGGATGTATTCATCATGCACAATTTCCTACAGCTGTTCTGGTACTGGATTATTTTGCACATTATGATGGTGCAGGAGAAGGGAAATATGAATGATTCAAGTCATAATAGATTTTAATTTAAAAAATAGCAGATGAGGAATCAGTTACATTTTGAGAGAAAAAGTAATGTATTCTACCAAAATCTTCATGTGAAATAGAAGTATTTTGTAAAATTACAGGTTCTAACTTTTTCTCTTGACCATCTAAAATAAAAAGGGTGAAGAATGAAGCAAAATGAAGTGAAATTCTCTAGGAAATTAGAGAAAAGGGATTTCTTGTATCACTGAAGCATGCAAAACAAAATTAGTTAACTATGTGGAAAATAAAAAAATGATAGCTTGCCAGAATAGAAAATGGAAAGAATGTTCAAAGATAATCCTTTCCAAATGGAAGATTTCAGATTTTTTTGTCAAAACAAGTAAGAATCCTCTATGGAAATCCTTTTTTTTTTTGTGTGTTTCGGAAGGCAGATGAGTTTATTAGATTGCACTCATAATTAATGAGGAATAACTGAGTCAGAAAAAAAATCTATGAAACATAACAATGTGTTTGAACAAAATAGTTTACTTTTCTGTCAGTTTTAAAGTCAGCTAATGAGACTGGAGAAAATGAAAAACACTTATTTTCAGAAGGGAACAAATAAAATAGTTGAGAGGTGTTATTTCATTTTTTTCCCCTGTGACTACTTACACTTTGGATACGTAGGAGCAACAACACAAAGAAGATTGCAAAGTGTGAGCCAGTGGGCTCCAAGCAGATTCCAGGTAGAGAATCCAAGTGTCAGATGACTTCTGTTAATGCTGGGGATGGGAGTGGAGAGCAGGAATTCTCACCAAACTGGGGGCTGGATAGGTTTCAGCCCCAGGTTATGCGTGCTTTTATAATTTTTGTTATAATTCGGTGTTTTCGTGAAATGATTTGGACTTCTTCTTCTTTTTTTTTTTTTTTAAGGAATGTATGTTGGGTGGGGAGGTTGAGTGCTTGGTTGTAAACAAAACATTCAGTTTTCTATTATTACCATTTTTAAACAGGCCAATGGATGCAATTTAATTTGGAAAAAAAAAAATAAAAAGAATCTTGCCCACAAAACGCTGGGAGCTCTGATTACAAAACAAACATGTGATGGTACCCCTGGAATGCTGGAAGACCTTCCCCAGGGCTGGCAGCAACATGCCAGCAGAGCTGACTCAGCCCTTTCCCCTCCTGGTCGTGTTTTTGTGCTGTGAGGAAGAGCACGGCCACGGCAGCTCTGGGGGCTGTGGCAGGGCATGGGGGGAGCCTTGCAGACTGGAATGTAAATCTGGGCACCTCTGCTCCAAACAGGGAGTGCCTGCAGCCTGAAAACGGCGCTTCCATTGGTGTCTTGGGCTTAAGCTGGCACGCAGTAAGGAACAGTATTTCTAGCACTGACTATTTCACCGAGTATCTCAAAGTGTTTCTTCTGTGGACCCTTCATACTGTACCAACGATGTAAAAATATGCAGTGTGAATTTTAAAGTAATATGAATTGATATGGTCAGCCACTCTGGATGACTTGCCCTTAGAGGAGGTCGGAGACTCATGATTAAACGAGCAGGCATCCCAAAGGACTAGCAGGAAAACATGACTGGCAACAACTCTCAGACTTTATCTGAAGACATTTTTTTTCTTAGTCTCTACATGCTGCATTGGATTTGTTGTTATTCACAATACCTTTCTCACCTGGATCTTTCCCAGATCACTTGCCTGCAGCAAAGTCTCTGCTCAGCCCTGTTCTTCATCCAGCAAAGTTTCCCATCTGCACCTTGCAAGGAGCTCCAGAGTCAGCTGGGTTGTGCAGGTTTGCTGGAGAAACCTGTCCACAGTTGTGCTCTGCTGCCACTTTCCATCCCTGAGACCTGGCAGCCTCCTCCTGCACTTCATCTCTAGCCAGGTTGTGATCTTTGCACGCTGTGTGGCACTCAGCCGACACCAAGACACAGTTGAATCTCTTGTCTAAGACTGCAGTGCCTTTTAGATGCTTCCTACCCCTTTTACGCATTTTCCTGGAGCTGCCAGGGCAGGGACAGTCAGTCCATGTTTGTGTGGGTGGGAGAAAGAGCTGAAATGTTTTGGTCAGCTTAAAGGATCCTGTGAAATAGCAGGGCTGTGTCAGGCGTGCGGCCACAAGGGGACAGATATGTACTGCGGGATCTGCAGGGGAGGTGGAGCTGCGAGAAGGAGAAATAACATAAATGATGGCAGCAGACAAGCCAGGACAGGTGCAGATTCTTGTGAAGCAGACTGCAATGATTTTTATAGAAGAAGTACTATGGACACCAGTGTAGATGGATGGAATCCTGCAGATTGTGGACTAAAAGCCCCTAAGAGCTTCCCTTAGACATCAGTCCAAACCAGGCTGTGCAGAAAAATGCTAGGCTAGTGCTGACAATATCATAGTAATATCGATGTTTACTATTTTTGATATTGTTTGATGTTAGAGACATTTAGAATTATACTTCCATGCTATTACTCCAGCACATGACACCACTATGTAGTCCTGGCTGCCTTTGAAAACATGGATTGGGAACAGTGGAACAGAGGACAGACAACACAGCCGGGGTGTGTCCAGCACGAGTGGAGAAGCAGCGTGACTCATATAGCATGCAGGGATCCAGATCTCAGCATGTATTGACGACATTGAGCTGCCTGAGGGGTTGTGGAAGGAGCTGGGAACACAGTTGGGTGTCTGAGATGCACCTCACAAAGTCGTGGAGCTGAAGTGAATTGAACCAAGTTGCTAAAAATATGCCTGAAGACATTTTTCTGTGTTTACAATTAGGAACTATTAATTTCAACAGCACGAGACAGGAGGCTGTGGAGAGAGTAAGAATCAAAAAGAATAAATATTTGAAAAAGCAACCAGTAAACAGACAGGGATTTAGACTAATGACCTAAACAGAAAATAATGTCATGGGTTTAGGGCTGCACAGACTAATCCTCTGGTGATAAATCTTAACTGCAATGCTTTATAAACTTCTGGGTGAACTTCAAGATAGAAACAAGAGGATCTAGTTGCCCTTGGAAATCTGCTGGTAATGTAGAGGGGAAAAAAGGAAGCTGGAACAGGAGGAAAGACTGGCTAAGTGCCCAAAGACTGCTGCCCAGCTGGTTTGTG